GGTGATGAAACGAGCGTTGCGATACATGGCTACCACCACCCTCGCAACAGACATATTGAAACCATATTGCGCACAACGGTGGAGGAGGAGGTCGAGGTTGATAGACTCGAAACATTTCACCAGGTCCCACAACAAAATAGCCGAGACCTTATCATCATTCACAGCAACCTCTCCCTTCACCGACTGCCGCCACACCACGTCAGTAGACGAGGCGAACTTGCCAGCTGCAAAAAACGGCCGTCGATTATCCTCCTCCCATCTGGTGGCATATCCTCTCCTCCCCTTCCCCCAAAGACGGTAGATAGAAGAGAAGAGGCGCCGAACGCCTCAAGCCTGCTTGCCAATGAGAGACATAACCGTAACTGCCGCCTGCTTGGGAGTGAGACTGCTTACCTCCATAGCAGAGTAGATAACGAAAAGGAGATCGAGGGATTCATCCGACATCGACGCGAAGTGGCGCATGTGGAACCCGTCGATAGAGGTAGCCGTGCCTTTCGAAAACTTTCGACTGCAAGCCCGAAGCTCATCAGGAGAGGTCGAGGAAGCGGAGGTAGAGGCTGGAAAGTGTCCGTAGCCCGTGGCGTGCAAGTGCGAGCGTGCCACAGCTCCGGATACTGCGCAGCCTGAGCGTCGAGGAGAGCCTGGGGGTCAGCCACGACGACATCATTCGACAACAAAGCCGTAGTAGGAGCCCACGGTGTAAAGCCACGGACAACAGAGTGGGCACGCTTTGCCCCAGCTTCAACTTTATCTAGGAGCCACTGCTTCCAACCTGCCAAAGCCTCCTGCTGTGCAATCGCCTCAGCAGCCGCAACTGCCACATCTAGATCCGCACAGATCGATTCGCAGTTCACCTGGCTGAAAGGCTGCTCCACAGCTGCGCGGACTTCATCATGCCAGCGCTGGTGATGCACCAAGCCTTATCTCAAGAACGACGGAGGTGCACAAATAGTTGAACGAAGAACGCCAGCCTGACACTGCACACAGGTGTCGGAAGCCCCGCAGTGAAGTGAGATGTACGTTCGAAACTTTAGATGAAGCCACTTGATAGCATAGAATAAAGGCTGGCGCGTTGGAGGCTTCCTGTCCTGCTCCAACACCAGCGCCCAGTACATCTGTGGGGCCTTGGCCCAGGAGGAGGAGGAGGAGGACGAGGAGGAGGAGGAGGAGGAGGAGGAGGAGGAGGAGGAGGAGGAGGAGGAGGAGGAGGAGGAGGAGGAGGAGGAGGAGGGTGGAGGAGGAGGAGGAAGGAGGAGGAGGAGGAGTGAGGAGGTGGAGGTGGAGGAGGGGGAGGGGAGGAGGAGGGGGAGGAGGGAGGGGGGATGAGGAGTAGGCAGAGCTGGCCCCCATCAGAGAGCGGCCACCGTCCTGGCGCGGTCTTCGTCGAGGTCCACGCGGGCCACTGGCCACGCGCGGCAGGGCGAGAGCGGCGAGGTCTCTTCTCGCCACCCCTCGACGAGAACAACGCACGGCACAGCCAGAGACGGTCGGAGGTTTGCGCGGTCTCCCCGGGCCGGCGCTGGGGCCCCCCTGGCGCCGACCCGAGGCATCTGCGCGGACCCCGCGCCCGTTCTCTGGCCGTCTGGCCCAGGCTGGGCTCGCCTGGGCGGCACAGCGCCGGAGGCGCACGAGGCCTCGGGCGGCGGCCGGTGGCCGACCGAGCGCGTCGAGCTCTGCACGGCCGGGCCGCCGGGCGCCCAGGAGGCGCCGAGGGCGACCGTGGGCCCGTGAGGGCGACGAGATCTGCACCCATCCACTGCTCCTGGCCAGGCCCATCCTGGGCCCGGGAGCTGTGTATACCCCGTC